GGGTATGCTTGGGATTTCCTGGGTAACGCTGCCAATACCGGTATTGCCAGTACTGGATTTGATTCATCTTGTTGATACTAGAAACATCCACTGCTATGACAAGTTTAACGCATTTATCACGAGACTATAGGGGAATAAAACATCAAATCCAGTCTTGGACCAAGACTACAGAGTACCTACGGTAGTCTGAGTATCACCCGCTATCCACAGAGCCAAGTCCTGTGTAACTGTCTGATACATGTATGTCTCGACATGCAGATATATACAATCGGAGTCCACTTTACTAAATCGTGACGTCATTTCATTCCTAAATCAGGACTAAATTGGTTTGATTGGTCAATTCAAATGCAGTGTTTTGTAATACACAAAAACAGTCAGGCGCGATATCGCATAACATGATACAGAGCGCGTGACACATTTTTGTTTTATCCATGGATTGTCTATGATGCGCAACGGGTGAATGACCGAAGACCCGATATAGAAAGCGCCGCTGATTGGTCAAAATCTATGTACGGTAGGTCAAGAGGCGAGGTCTTGCCTACATGTACATTAATCAGCGAATCTGATGTACTCGGTATGTGATAGAGTGTGGCATTTGCCACGGTCTATTACATAGAGTACAGAGTGCCGTGCAATAGTACACGCAAATAATTAGTCCTTAAAGAGGCAATAAGTGGATATTCATGCAAGTATAATTCAATATATTGAGTTTTCCCCTTCACGAACATATATTGTGCACTGAACATGTACACGTACAATATACAAACCTGACATGTACAATCATCTTCCTCCATGGTACAATGTACATGGGTAATTCCACAAAGTTGGGTACAGAATGTGTGACATGAGGGTGAGTTTTTCAAAATAATGTGAAGAGCACTAAAATAACTTTTTTAGGTGCTGACATATATGTAGTGTCTAAAATAATAAACCATTTTGAGACATCTTGTCAAACGTTTTATTTTTAACAGTGTTGTTTATTAACAGATGCAAAGCAAGTTTCACATGTAACATGGACACCAAACATGAGGAATCACCTTTCCCATTGTTATTTTATAGAATTGATATGCTCCAAGTATAGAATGTATTTAAAAGGGCTTGATAAGTACATTAATTAAATTCATACATTTTTTGGCTAATCGTTATGAGATTATTGAAATCAGCTGTTGTTCACTCACATGAAATGGGCAAATTATATAAATTTGGCCCTTCATACATATTTTTTCTTGTATTGTCTGTTCCAAAAATGTTTGTCTACACCAAACGTGTAAAACACAAGGAAGCAAACCCACACGTTCAACTTATTTTGCCATGTTACCATTTCTTTTACACAAGACAGTATCCATGCAAAATAATTTTGTGGTTTCACATGTAACAATGACACCAAAATATTGGTGTCCTGTTACACGTGAAACTGATATATGGATTATAAGGTAATAAGCTTTAAACTTGATAAAAAATGAGTAAAACTTCATTTATATTAGTTAAAAATGAACAAATTTGAAACATCAGCTGAAGATGTGAGTGTGTTTAGCTTTGAGACTCCCATATTGGACAGGGTTGGGTTTCACATGTAACATGGATGCCAAATTATTGAACGTTCTGATTACATCTCAAGATGTGATGCCTAAACCATTTTGCCGTCCCCATCCTTCCCGTATCCTGTCCCTACCCTCCCCTACCCCACCCCACCCTCCCCCACTCCATTCCCACCCTTCTAGTACCCATAACATATTGGACAGTGTTGGGTTTCACATGTAACATGGATGCCAAATTATCGAAAGTTCCGATTACATCTCAAGATGTGATGCCTAAACTATTTTGCGGTCCCCATCCTTCCTGTATCCCGTCCCTACCCTCCCCTACCCCACCCCACCCCCCCACTCCATTCCCACCCTTCTAGTACCCATTACATAACAGTGTTGTAGTCGAGTCCATCACAAGTCCCTGCAAGTCCATCATAAGTCCATCACAAACAATTCAGTCTTAATCAGGTAATAAACTTTAAACTTGATAAAAAAATGAGTAAAACTTCATTTACCGGTATATTAATTAAAAATGAACAAATTTGAAACATCCGCTAAAGATGTGAGAGAGTTTAGCTTCGAGACTCCCATTATTGGACAGGGTTGGGTTTCACACGTAACATGGATGCCAAATTATCGAACGTTCTGATTACATCTCAAGATGTGATGCCTAAACCATTTTGCCGTCCCCATCCTTCCCGTATCCCGTCCCTACCCTCCCCTACCCCAACCCCCCCTCCCCACTCTACCCTCCCCTTCCCCACTCCATTCACACCCTCTAGTACCCATTACATAACAGTGTTGTTGGATGCATTGTTCCTTGGATTAACCATTCCCAAATGGATGAATTTACTGAACATGCTGAAGCCTAAATCAATGCAAATTATGAATTTATTTCTTAGGGGAAGATTTTTTTTTAGTTTTGTACTATTCATTCTTATGTGTTTTGTTTCTTTTGTTTGAAAAAAATGTTGAAATATCTTAATTCAAACCAGAAAAAGAAAATCACATGATGCTCCACCCCCATTATGAGAATGGAATGGTCTGGCGGTATCCTGGCCTGTGACCAATCAATGTTGACACTTCCCCTCTTATTTTAGACTAACTTCAGTAAAAATCACCAACTTTCGAACCCCCTTCAAACAGATAAATGAAAAGGACCCCATTTTTAATAGATCAGACGTTGACCATCCAACGCAGGCAAAAGCACAGGCCAAAACACAAAATCGTACCACACCGTCGCATGGAAACCACGTCGTGATATTTCCATTACGATGTGCAATTTCAGTTAGGGTTTCGGGACACATATTTAGCGTCATTTGTGAAAGCTTAGCCTCTTCTAGTCCGAGTAACTTGGACCCAACTTATCGCCTTTTTTAACATTTTGGACATGGTCTGGCGATAGTGGGGTCCAAGCTAATACCGCGACCTGGACAACATCATCCTGTCACTGTCCCAAACCAACATTTTCCAACAAAAAACATCAGATTTCACCTTCAAAACGGCCTCCAAATTACTAGATATGCCACCTGAAGTACAAGTAGACATCGATAATTAAGATGGTTGTACTTAAGTTTACTTACGATCCGGAAGAAAAGTGAAATTTTCCGTTCATTTCGGAGAGCTCCCCTCGCGATCTTGAACACGTTAAATTTCCGATCGTGTTTAATGTTTGAACGACGCGATTTCTTCTACATGCCCAGTGTACATTCAATGGTCCCCGTATCCCGTGTGCGATTCCGTTACCGAGCGCGCGCGATGCACGATTATGATAATGAGTCACGTTTGTAAACACATACATGTGCATTTTGAACTGTAAAAGGGAATCGGGAACCAGCTTGAACTGGTACCCGCCATAAAAGCTGCGCTAGTTCCCGACTCCCTATTATCGTTTGAAATGCACATGTGTTTACAAACGTGATCCAGTCTACTCATTATCATAATCGATGCATCGCGCGCGCTCGGTAACGGAATCGCACTCGGGATACGGGGACCATCGAATGTACGCTGGGCATGTAGAAGAAATCGCGTCGTTCAAACATTAAACACGATCGGAAATTTAACGTGTTCAAGATCGCGAGGGGAGCTCTCCGAAATGAACGGAAAATTTCACTTTTCTTCCGGATCGTAAGTAAACTTAAGTACAACCATCTTAATCATCGATGTCTACTTGTACTTCAGGTGGCATATCTAGTAATTTGGAGGCCGTTTGACCGTGCATGAACATGTTTTATGCCAAATCACGGAAATGGAATATCACGTCGTCACGCGGTTACCATTTTGTTTCGTATCCATTCCGTAGCTGAAGTGCAGGTTTTAGCGTGTCAACTATACTGCAACAATTGTTTGAGATGTTATTCATGTTTCAGCATACACAGGGAGTAGTTCTTCGGGATTACCAGGCACCGTGTTGATAAATCTGTAATCTAACCCTTGTTTGTCCTCCCCGAATGTGGTATACCTCGTAACTGACATCACACCGTAAAAAAATGACACCAAAACTATTGGCACCCACGATGGAAAAGTTGCCGAAAGCACGCGGGTTTCTTCTTGCAACAAAGCAAGGGTTGCATCCGGGTACTTTGATCGCAAGACGTTCATCCAGAAAATCTATAGAGGGCGCACGCGCGATCGCATTTAATTATCACGTCGTCACGTTTTTTAGTGGATGCGAAGTCAACTACCAGTGAGTAACCACGGTTGTTTTTTAAAAATCGTGTAGTTTTTTTCATGATTTCTGGTTGGATACGAATGGAATGCTACTGTTTCTCGTGGAAATCGTTATTTGGGTCTTCTAAATGACTCTGACATTTTACAATATGTCGGTAAATTTCGGTTTCACCTCGCAACATTGCTGACACGAAATGTTACGATGGGCGCTGAGACTTCCGTGATCGATACTTCAGAAATGCAAGACGCATGGAATAAATAACAATCAGGGAATCGTAAACGGTCTATTGGTTCAACTTTATTTGCAAAACATTATTTAAAATATACTCTTGGGAACACAGAATCGTACATTGAAGACCGAGTATGTTTCATGTCACAAAATATTCTTAAAATAAACATGGATACCATGATATTTTGGTGACGTAGTTTGGGTTTCGACCAATTGGAGGTCCCAAAAAAAAAATTTTTCTTGTTCGCCCATTCATCCTCAATAAATCGGGAGCGATAAAAAATGTGATTAATTTGTCAAAAAAAAAAATAACAGCACTTTGTTTTCACTGGACCACTGTCACTGATGCATTGATTGTGTACCCAACTTCATGGAATGACCCACATACATGAACACAAAATCAGTGCTGCAGGCTTGTGAGAAAACAAATTCCCACGGTTTCTTTGAAATCCTGCAAAATCCTTCCAAACCTCCAAACTGGATTCTTGAAGGATTCCGGAGGATTTGCTAAAAGGCTCTTTTTTTTCCTTTTTTTTATTTATTGTTATTTTTTTTTCTTGTGTCCCTAGCCTTACCTTGGCTGAGAATCCAATCCCATGTTGAAATGCCTCCTCACTGTGCAGTGGGATGCGAGTGTCGTAAGCATCCTCCACCAAGTTGTACTTGTTCTTCTTGGAGGGCATCTCGGCAGCGCTTCTCTCGCACGGCTCTCAGTCCCAGAGTCTGATCAATCCACCGCCGCGGCCTTGACCATGAAACGGTGTTGGCTGACTGGGTGTGAAGCTTCCTCAGGGGACCGTGGGAGGTGGGCTAGGGGTTAAAAGCAGCACACAGGTTTCAATCAATCACTGTTGTGTGCGTGTGTGGATGTTTACGTTGTCACTGCATTGTAACTGTTTCACTTACATTACCGGTATAGTGTACATTGTAAGTTCAGTTGCCATCCATAAATTCCATTGAAAGTCCTATCTGAAGTCACAGCCTTATAAATTTGATGTTCACACTTTCCGCAGTGTGTTTAAAGCTGTGTGCCCGGAGCATTTCCTGGTGCCAAATCCGAATTTTTGAAGCACACATTTGAAGTAAAATAGAACTCTTCACAAAAACTTTTTGTGAGCTGTATGGTCTGACTCCATTGATTACACATGTAGCAAAAGGCTGAAAGTACATGAAGACATTCTTCTTGTGTACCGTACAGAGCGAGTCAAAAAAGACGAAAACCCAAATGTCAGGACCGTTGCTTTAGTGAAGTTCTGCACGTACATGTAGCACTTTCAAAATCTAGGATATGAAAGCCCAATGCTTTTTTTTAGTACCAGAATGATTTTTAGATCACTCATGTAAGTTTCAAGTTACAGAATTTTAAACACAACCACCATTTTACAGTTCTGTCCACGGATCACAAAAAGGTACTTGTGTTCTTTAAGCAAAACGAAAACAAATCGCATAGGGATGTGTGTGAATTGTTTTCGTTCTGCTGAAAAAAAACGCACACCTTTTTTGTGATCTGTGGACAGAACTGTAAAATGGTGGTTGCGTTTCAATTTCTGTAACTTGAAAGGTACATGAGTGATTTGAATGATTCTTGTACTAAAAGGAAGCTTATTTATGTATTTATTTATTTATTTATTTATTATTTACCCTGGGGAACCTCTCAGTGGTACACTGTTTTCCAGAGGTGCCCAGCAATTATATACAGAACAATTCATTTAAAATTACAAGTTCAAGCTTATGAATTGGGTTTTCGTATACTTGTATATAGGCCTATCCTACATGTAGATCTTGAAAGTGCAACATGAAGAACTTCACTAAAACAATAGTCCCGACATTTGAGTTTTGTTTTTTTTACTTACCCTGTACATATGGTCAGTAAATAGTTGTCAGGTCTGCTAGCTTTTCTGGTGAATGTCAATTTGCAAATGCAGCACCTTCAGCTGTGAACAGCAGTACCGGTAAGTATTCGCACCATACATGTACTCCCACTGACTAAAGGATCAAGTGAAGTGACGTGCGTATAGTACAGCCCACACAACATTCAGTGCGCATCCCGCAGGCCATTGAAGTATTGAATTATGGATTCGTTCGTGGTCTGTGCCGTGGCAATAGCCTGCAGCGTCGGTGTGCGAGCACATTTCAAACCGACAGTTTCAGAGGGGGGTTCAGTGAGCATTTTCTGTCGGTGATTTGCAATTGGATTCTTAATACGGAATGAGATCGGAATCTTGTTGAAATCAATATGTAGACACTGCTGCACGCTCACACAGCTCTGAGATTGACATGGTTTTTATTTGACTGAACAATGGGTGACCAGTGTCTGTTTATGTTTAACAAAAATATTTCAAAATTTCAAGGTACACAGTGCAATTCTTGCTTATAAAATTTTAAAATACATCGTACACGTAGGCCCTAACAGAATATTGAAAGCTTTACGAAGTTAGGTACAAATCAAATCATTTAAACATAAAAGTAAATGAATACAAAGTTGGATCATTTTTTCGAGAAGCCGTGCAATGATTTTGAGGTTATCAACCACAGACATTGTGACTGAAAATGAAATGACTGATTAGAGCACTGTTTCAGTACAAATGACATGAATGACCTCTTTATACAATTTGTATAAAACATTATTCAGAGACGTCTGGTACCGGTACTGTACATTTTGCCTGTCCTGTACAACACATTGTCCTTAATTTTGTCAACTTTTTCCTATTCAATAAAAAACAAATCGGCCTATTTTTTAAGAGATCTAAAATTCCTAATATCTGACCCTTGTTAAGATGTTTTACAATCCTTTCAAGTTGGTTACAAGAATTTACTCACTGATCAACTCGCAGAGTTTTTACCCAAACTTGTTCAAAACTGGGAATTGTTTGCGTCCCATACGACACGTTACATTTTTAGCAATACCTGGTAGGCCTAATACCGAAAGGTAAATTTTAAGCCGAGTAGTGGTACTGCTCTTTCAGTGTGCCCGAGGATTCTTTATTATTTTACTACTTTCTAAACAGGCTTGAAAACAATCTCGGAATGTCTCATACATGTAGGCCTACGAGATGGAATTGTCTATAGGGATGCATGTCCATGTACATGTACAATGTACATGTACAAATACATGTCCTCTTGCTGATGACAAATTGACAAATGACTCGTGGATGTCTGCCAACAGAGGGCGGCACACTGACTTTTCAATTTATAAGTAAGTCAACAGGCTCAATATCCACCTTTCCCCCCCCCCCCAAAAAAAAAATTTCCACATCCTCCCGACCCCAGAATCATTCTTTTCTTTTATTTTATTGGTCTGAAACACTTCACAAAATCACAAAAACCATTAGGCCTAAGTTTTTGTGCACACTCAATTTGTGAACTTTAAAGGAATCTTTTTCACAGTACACTTCCAGAGAAGGTGAATAAACGTGAAAGTTCCCATTAAAGAGAAAAGTTCTGTGGTACACAGCACCTATTGGTACGGTGTTGCCGTTCACTATATTACTCATCAATTTCCTTTCTTCGTAAAGTATTTGAACTAACGTGTAATTACTTCTATTAAGACTTTTTGCTAAACTGTACCGGTACGTACACATGTGCATCAGGTTACCTACATGTACTTATCTTCAAGTAAACTTGAATCCTCTATCCTGATTGGTCGATCCATGGCAACAAACCTTGCTACATTATCCCATGTAGCACGGTCCATACCGCACAGTCATTTGTAATTTTGTTCTTGTGCATTTTGTTTGCCTTTTTTTGTACTATTCGTTCGTCATTATGTGCGGGTCTGCATGCTTCCGAGCAACACTGATTAGATTCGCTTTTGCGGTCACTGACCCGTGCACATGTAATCATTTTCTTTGTGAATTTATTGTGCTTTATTGGTTAATGCTCAACTCGCAATTGGGAAGCCCAGCTGTCATTGAAAGTGCATGCCCTCAACCTCATGATTTTTCTTCATGATTTGAAATTTCAATTACATGTCTAGATACGTTCCTTTTGTTGTGCGTTTTCATCCACTTTTGTGTAATTTTTGTTTGGTTATTTTGTATCACTGTTTGTAATTCTTTGTTGAGGTCAAATAAATAATAATAACTGTGTGTATTACGCTTGTCTATAGGCCTATTCAATTGAAAATGTCTGGCACTTTCTTCCCCAATACAAATTTCCTTGGAAGGACTAATAAATTGAAATTGAAATCCTTATTTCAAACTTGTGCTTTCCTTGACTCTCACACATGTATACCCATCGTGTGTCAAACATTATTTTCATTAAGCAGAGTGCTAACTCTAGGAGTTGCAGAGCTGGTTCATTTGTAGGCCTACATGTACATGCCCGCAGATTATTTTGACAGCTTGAATGTGACTTGCCGCTAAGCTGCAGGAGATTGTCCTGAGAAGTGTCCATTGGCAAGGACATTCGCCAGTAGTGAATTTCAATAAACCAATCAATGATTTCAATGGGAAGTACCGGTAATGTTGTAAACGTAAGCAGTTTGGCAGATCGAGGGGCGCCTGAAATTCAATCATGGGAAATCAAACAAATTGGAGAAATGAAGGACATGCATACAACATGTACAAATGTAACTGTACATTTGTACCCGTACTACATGTAGGGGAAAAAGTCAAACACTAAACTACAAAACAGAGAATAGTGCATAGCAGGCTCTCACTGACCCACGTGACCCTGCCTACATCTGGGTACCAGAAAGTCAGTAGGAAATCATAGTAGGCAAAGATCGTATAGCACCTGCAGGCAGTAGACAAGCCTTCAAAGCTGTGATGGATGGCATTTTTTTTTTTTTTTCAAACCGACTATCTAGCCAAATTGTGTTTGTCTGACAGTTTACGTGTACACGTACATAGGCCTACTGTAGGCCTACCGTTGTACCGGTATGTACAGTACCAGTACATTACGTACAATTAAATGTACACATTTACCGGTACCTTGTACAGTATACGTATACATGTGGGCTTGTTAAATGTAAATCAAGGACACACATGTGAAACATACTGACCTGTGTCAATTGAGGACAGGAGTCAAAATCGATGCATCCTGGATTAGAAACCGTGTACAAAACCAATGAGAGATTCTGAACTTTTGCAAAAAGTTAAAGTATGAACTACCGGTACATGTAAAGATCAATGCATGATGAGGAACAATAGGAAATCCTTGACTTTGTACACCATGAACAAACCTACTTTACATGAATAGGCCTACACGTGGGCGGGCCGTTACCGCATTATGGGGAAGGGTTTTTTTTATTGTTAGGGAAATTAGGCCCGATCTTATGGGGACTTTCTGCTGTCCCCATACATGTACCGTGCGCGCATGTACCGTACCGTAGCATCTTCGGGGCCCCATAATTACCACAGTACCATGGGACAACACTTGTGTATTCCCCCCAGTTACCAAACAATTATGTTCATGATGAATACGTGAACATGTACATGTACAATGTACATGTACCAATACCAATGTCTGTGGTTTGGGATGAGTGGACTATAGGCTATTGGTTATTAAGCTGTCATTGATATTTATTAGCTTGTCAGCAGAACCCAATTTAACCAAGACCACAAATTAAGAAAGCAGGCCGACATTCCATGTCTTCCTGCAATTGTTGTTACAGAAAAAATGTCTGTGCCATAATAAATTGATTGAGGTTTTTTTTTTGGGGGGGGGGGGGGGGTTGGGGTTTCAAATGTGCTTGCTATACATGTACACAATGTATACAGCACAATTTGCAAATTACAAAACCACATGATATGATAGGGCCTACATACCAGTAGTATGTAAATATTTACTTGTACGTGTACATTACACACCACATTACATATCGTATACTTAGGGAACATCCACCAAACACATGTACTATAGAGGGTCCAGATGTTTTTATGCTAGCTACATTGTACTGTACACCAAGTGAATGTTTTTGTGGCATGACAATCCTGATGACAGTACAGTTGATATCACTGTACAGTGCAAGAACACACAGGTTGAATTCAGAACCCCAACAGACACATGACCCATGTCAATCAATTTGGAGAGCTGTCATAACATGTAAAATACACTCACAGTACAAATAAATTTGTCCAAACAAAAGTTTGTTTATAGTTTCCGGTAGGTAAATAACTAAGGCAAGGGATACTGTAGGTCCATTTGACTGGCATGGTTTTCTTCCCTGATTGGCTCATGTACAGTATAGGCCTACATAACATTATTCACAAGGAAGCCATTTTGATCGTGTTCCCTGAATGTAGGCCTATTTTATTAGTTGTAATCTGTTGAATGGGATGGTGCCAGACTATTTATGCATTCCAAGCCTCACTTTTATTTTTTGTTTTATTTAATGTGGCTTTAAACATTGATCACAATTTGTTTAATTAGGCCTATTCATCAGAGCAGACTGGTATTAATTCGTTTCTGTATTTCATTGCTTTCATTTCTATTCATGAAATTTTAACTCGCTTTCAATTTAATATGGCCGACTCGTGAATAAAGCCTGTATTACACCACACCGGCCACGTCAGCTTTCTTTTAGTAGGCCCTAAACATTGGTTTGCCAGAGGTTGTCTTTGACGCGATTGGAATATGCACTTTTTCTTTGGGATCACATCAGCGCTGGGCCTGTTCATAATGACGTCACTGCTTCGCCATTCAAACAATGAATTGACAATGAGTGGGCGACGAGTGGCGACTGATTTATTTAGAGTCCCATGATCTCCCTAGGACTTGAGCTACTGTACATACATACTTATGTACATGTATCGCCTAATTATGACCAAATGTTAAAATAGTTGTTGTATAGTGATACTACCGGTACAGTCCTACTCGGACTTATCCCAGAATGCAACTGGGAATTTAGAAAAAAAATGAGAAAACTCCAAAGCACACAAGACTTTGTATGTATTTTTTTAATTTGTAATGGCATCCATGAGAAGTAAAAAAAAAAGGGAATCAGCGGATCCGAGGAAAAGTTGCATGCCTGCAAATCACAACTGTATGTATAGTATAGTTGGAATTATACAAAGCCTGAATAAGTCCCCGTCCTTTGATTGGTGTTCATTGATCATGTGTCATTGAAATTGAATTATTCGTCCAAACGCACGGCGCGGCCACGCAGCAAAAATAGAAGTTCCACTCCACGGTATAAAATAGAAGTTCCATTGCACGGTCGCACATTTGACAGCTCTGACCAATCTGATGATGTGGTTTTATTCAGGTGATGACAAAGCAAATAGTAAATGTTTCACATTCCTGCAATGGAAAGAATAATTGCATTCAGTGACAGATTGAATGCTCCATTCCATCTGTCACCTCATGAAATTATTCTAACCACTACACTCACAAACATTCATTAGGGATTTGTAGGGCCTATACCATCCAATCCTATTCTACATGTAGTTGGGACAATGCCAAAAGGGTAAATTTACTAAAAGCATTTGGAAAGCAAATCGTATGTTCTTCAGATAGGCCTATTATTTATGTACGTACGTACATATATTGTCAGACCCCCTAACATGCCTAATGCTACGCGATCCTATTTCCACGCACTCACCTTCAATTTGCGTAAACTTGACAATGCACACGCATTGCAAGCAATACCTGCGCAGATTATGGAGGGTTGCGGATACAAAACTCCCCAGAACTTTGGAATGCATAGTGATCATACATACATGTACATGTTGGCCCTTTTCTATGTTCACAATGCATCATGGGCATGGATAAAAACGATGCAGTTTATGGACAAACCAGCAGGGGGCAGTGAACCATGAATGCTTTAATGTGTTTTCTTCTTGAAATATTTTTCCCACATAAACTGGACTCAAAATTTTCACCTTTTATTTTATGCATAGAATATGCATAGGCCTATAAGAAACATAATTTGGAAATAAAATTCAGATTTTTTTTTAAATCTTGATTTTTTTTTTTACCAGTCTTGTGATTGGCCAATATTGGCTGGGTCACAGTATTATTAAATCAGGATAATAAAACTGGTAAATTGTAAAAATAGATTGTCCAAAACTGTGTTCATTCTGATAAGCGTTTAAAAAATTAGTTTTGAAATAATATTTCAAAAAATTACAAATTATGCAACAAGTGACTGTGTGAAAAGATTATTTTAGGCCCTAATTTTTTTACGCAAAGTCATTTAGGCCTAATGAGGAATCAAATGACAGTTTAACTGGTTCGCAGCCCCATACATCACATGGTAGGTTTGTGCACAAATTACCTGGTTTGTTTGTCACCATTTGAAGTGCTTTGTAATTTTCACAATTAACACCCACTTCCGGCAGAACTCAAATATTCTTCATCACAGTGGGCCATGCATGAACGAACACAGTTGGCCATGCATGAACGAACGTATAGTACAGCTGCAGTCGGCAGGGTGTGTTGCACTAGCCTGGCCACTAAACACAAACACATTCACTTTGCAACATTTGATCCATTCCAGGATCCATACATGTTACACAACCCTAGCGGCAGTAGCTTTATTTGGAAAGAATTCAATACATGGACATCACATTTTTCCCCGCAATACAGTATCAGCCATCAGAAAGTGACAACAAAAAGTCAAATTTAGCTGAAAAAATATTGAAGCACACAACTGAGAAAACACTTTGATTTGTTCAGACTAGTCTCATATTTGTGTACTGCAGGACTAACACTCAGCATGCTCAGTTGACCACATGAGGCGCTACTCGCGATCGCGCTAACCATCATGACCATGCTAACGTTAACGTTAGTTTTAAGATTAGAACTCCTTTTTTTTCGAATTAGGGATTTGGTCTGCTAGTACTAACTCAGTAGTACGACAGACCAAATCACAAATTCGAAAAAAAGGAGAGTTACTCACTTTTAAGTTCTAGCGCCAGGCCTACAATGCATGACATGCGCTGGCGCCCCCATCAGACAGTGGGTCTAATTTCTAACGTTATCCCATGTATTCCGGCGGTAGTTCGGGAACAGGTTCTCTTTCCCCTCTATTTTTAGACGACATCCTACACACACACCCGTGAGGCCATGTAGGCCTATGGCAATGCTTCCCTCGATTTTTACAAAAGAAATCTCACCTGTCCATGCTGGAATTCTAGTGTAATCTCTGCAGCCGAAATTGTGTATTTTGTTCCTGAGTTTTGAGCTCCGTAGCTGTCACGAAACCGTCAAATTCTCTCATTCATTCATCTGCCATCATCAGCTCACTAGTGCATGCTATGCCTATGGCAGCTAGCACACATTAGTACTAGCTCTAGCTAGCTAGCTGGCGCGAACGCTTAGCGCCCTCAATTGACGGCCGCGGTCGTGACAGCGACAGTGACACTAGCATACATATTTTAATGTGGGCGGCCGGGGGTACCCGGGTACGGGTATGGGTACGAGCGAAACATAATAATAATCTTTTGGAAAGAAGTTACTGGGGTTTTTTTTTACTGAAATGGACTATACTCTCGGTAAAGATTACAATGTGACAAATATAAAAATAAAGGAAAAAAATTGCTTTAAGTTCAAAATCTGCGTTATTTTACTCTTTCGAAATGAATTAGGCTTAGCCAATTTTTCTACTACAGATTATAAATGATGTTATATTTTAATACGACACAAATTTCTTGTATTGTTTATTGTAGGCCTAGTTTGATTATTAGTCATGTGGCTTAATATGATCCAATTTTAGACAAGATCGCCGACCGACTGGTCAAAAGCTCCAAACTTGGCAAATAGATTATTATAGCTTAAAGAAGATTTTAGAAGGGGTGACACCTGTAATTCTTTTGGGAGGCGTTCCTTATTTGCATACAATTAATCGTAAAAGCTGACGTGTGTAATATGTTTATTCAAAAATGTTGGTGTTTGTTTTATTTATTTTTTGAAAAATGTATTTTGGGGATTCTACTTACACGCATCCTTACTTAAATACCATTTTATGAAGCATAATTTATGAGTGACTGAGTAACTTATGAGGACATAATGAAAGATCCAAAATGGCCGACATATACCAGGGGCGGCGGAACCGGGAAGTGTGTGTGTGTGTGTGTGTGTGTGTGTGTGTGGGGGGGGGGGGGGGGGGGGGGGGGGGGGGGGGGGGGGGGGGGGGGGGGGGGGGGGGGGGGGGGGGGGGGCAAGGGGCACTTTCCTCTCCCTCCCCCCCCCCCCCCCCCCCCCCAGATTTTCCCAGGCCAACAAAAGTGCCCCCGTCGCGGTTAATATGCCCCTTCGACATGAAAACAAAACTGCCCTGCATCAAACGCACACGATATGAAAGCATATGATCGCGCAGATAAACTTGTCCTTGTAATGCAAAACTGCCTCTCAAAAACACAATATACCCCTCTTGCATTAACAAGATTGCAATGGGCTCCTTCTCGAGGTGGAAAACTACCGGTAGCCCTCGAAAGCACAAATACCCTCTCGCAATAATAAAACTGTGCCCCGCCTCTCGAGATGGGAAATTGGCCATCAAAAACAATAGTGCTCTACTTGCGATAACCTCTCGAGATGGAAAACTGCCCCTCGATAGCACAATTAGTGCCCCGCTCGCAACATTAATATTGTGCCCCCTCTCAAGATGGAAAACTAGCCCCTAAAAATAACAGTGCTCTTCACGCGAATAAAATGGTCACTGAACTGTCCATCAAAAGCAACAGTGTCACTCTCGCGATAACACAAAATGGCCTCTCTACATAATTTGGTAAAAGAAGCACAAAGAGCAAGATGGACAACGTATTCATAATTTGTTCCACGTCGTATAGGTTTATAGCGAAATGAACGGGACCATATTTTTTTCCTCCACTTTCACACCGACGGAAAGTGCCCCTTTTTCTGAGCAAGTGCCCCTTTTTGGTATTGCCCCCCCCCCAGTTTGAAAAGCGTTCCGCCGCCCATGCCATATACCCTTTTTTAAGTTGCACGCATTGATCGTTTCCCCATAATCATCAGGTCTCATCTTGCATGCAAAAACCTCAGTTGTGATGATCTTTAAATTAAGTTGTTAGAATCCCCAACATACATACACTTTTCGATTTTTTTTTTTAAATATAATAAAATATGGGAATAAATATATCCCGACTTCTGCAAATTAGGCACTGTTCTCCAAAGAATTTCAGGTGTCAAATATCTTCTTTGAGGCTATAAGAATCCAAGTCAAAATTTAGTGCGTTGGAACGGACCAGTCGGTCACAATTCCGACTATATTACCATCGTATACCATTCCCTAGACTTGGCGTAATTACAAGAAAAGATGAATTTTCCAAGTGAAGGGAGTTGAATTAAAATTTAAAAAAAATGCTTCGTTATGTAAACCGGTCAGTATAGCTCACTGTTTATAATTATGAAGAAGGGGATTATTATGAACTTCCCAAATTTCACTCCCTGCAGAAGGAATATCAGCGCGATGCCGGACGAGGGCAGAATGGGGCAAGCCTGCAAGGTTAATTGCTCGTACGGACGAGAGCGACTCTGAATAGTCAAGTGCTTTTATACGAATGACTGTATAGAAAAGAGTGACGTAACACTGAGCATTCATGTGAACAGCCTGGCGTGCTGCAGTTTCGCGCAGCTGGCTTTGAAAAACAAAGTGACGAGTCCACTGCGGAAATCAAAGCCCGATTATCGCCACAGAATACAATTCATTATGTTTTAAAACGCGGGAGATAGAAAGGCGCCTAAATAGCCTAGTGGTTATGCTGTCAGACAGCGGACCCAAGGTTTGGGGTTCGAATCCCCATGGTGCCATATTTTGTTTTCCACGCACGCGGTCGTGTCATTTAAGTTAAGAGTATTAATTTCCGTCGTCATTTACCAACAGCAGTTAGCTCGGTCGGTCGGTAAGCTGACTCACAAGTTGGGACTGTCTGCGAAGTCCAGGTTGGCGTCTGCGTATAGGTACGGGGTTCTTTTGCTGACTCGGCAGCAAGGCTTAGGGTGCCACCTCGTTTCCTCCCTTTATGGTGCCTGACTTTCGAGTTACATGGATGGACAGGGAAGGAGGTGTGGTGGGCCGGGTACCGAGTCCCAGAAGAGTTCTATATGGAAGTCGGTAAGGGGCTCATTAAGTTAGGGTCATAAGTCCGACTCCTGAAGACTTGGCCATCGCCACATAACTTTTTGTTTTATTTTTTTTATATCCGAGGGCAATTGCAAGAATGATTAATTTGTTATATCGAGGGCTTGTATACTGTTATCATTCTAAAATAATTTGTTTAATTGTTCGAGAATACAAAAATAACGTTTATAACAAAAACAAAATAATAATCAAATCAGCTAAAATGAACGAAAGAAAATATGCAGCCTGCTTAATCCAATCAATGCATATAAATAAAAATTTGTCCCCGACGACACCAAATGCCTAAAAAAGTGTTAAATTAATTCCCCAGCAGGTTCCGTATATTTCCACCACGAAAACAAATAATCACATTCAGAATATCGATACAGCGCTGGAGACGGTGGCGGAAGGCGTGTGCTACGGCCGAAAGCTGATGAAGGAATTCAGGATCACCCCTGATGTCATTGCACACCTCCGCGATCGTGTGTCGCGCCAAACAATATATGGAGGTGTGCAATGACATCAGGGGTGATCCTGCATCCCTTCAGAAGCTTTCGGCTGTAGTACGTGCCTTCCACCACCGTCTCCAGCGCTGTATCGACATTGGAGGACATGAGTTGAAAGCGGCAGATTCTGTAATGAGTGAGCATTTTTTATGGCGTTTAAATCTCACCCGCTTGAACAAAACTGATAAAACTCGCTCCATAGATGTTGTTATGCCGTGTTTACATGATCTGATATTTTGGTTTATTTCCATTTGTAAACAACAAAGTTATTTAGGATGAAAAGCAGGAACAGCGGCATGCGCTGCAACTCTGATGTAATGCGGGTAGCCGTTTTGTCGAAGTGTAACACGAAGATCCAGATACAGAACCAGGGAATTGAATAATTAAAAAAAAATATTATAATTACAGTAGACACTTTAATAATTCAATACTGGAACTCGCGGATATAGTGCTTTCAAAACGGTGAGAATTTTTATTCTGTACATATTTCTTATTGTTTCTTAAGAAGGTAATGAACAAAAAGAAAGCAAAATATATAGGCCCTACCTAATTACTACAAGTGCAGCACTGTCTGTAAAAAAAATAATAATTTCAACATATTCAGTTAAGGAGAATACACGAGAAAGTGTGGATTCGTAATTGAAGAATTCCCGAGGCGCGAAGCGCCTCGTGAATTCGTAAATTAAGAATCCACACTTGCGAGTGTATTCTTCAACTTAAACCATTGCGTCAACAGAAATATTGGAAAGAATGTTGCAACCTGACGCCACTTTTTTCTTCATATATCATCTCAATGAAGGTAGTTTGTTGCAAAAATGACGATAAGACATGAATCTGGGACTGAGAAATGTTTCCAATTGTGTTGGGAAATACTTGAAATGACTCTCCATAGACTTTGTACACAAGCGCGGAAGTGGCGGCAGGTTGCAACATTGTTTCCTGGCGTGTTTAGCATGTGTATCGACACACCCGTACAACCAATTAAGTCATTTTGTTTCTATAGGCTCCTTACGTCAAAACTGGATAGTTCAGACGACGATTTCTTTCTGACTAAAAGTAGATTTTGCAGTGACGGCGGAGAATCTGACAGTGTGTGAAGATGCAATGGTAATTTTCGGAAAGCAAATTTTCACACAGACGGTCCTATTCATGATCATTATGGAGAACAATTGTCCGACGTGTTCAAAGTGTGGATTCGTAATTCCGAATCCACACTTTACTAAAGATTCGTCGTTCCGAATGATCCACACTTTGTGACCAGTGTAAGCGATTCGTAGATCCGAATCCACACTTTTAACAATAGTGTGACGTCATAGCAATGGTTTAATGAATTAAAAACCAGGACTTTTCTTAACTCATGCTAAGTCACATAAACTTTCAAAATTTGACAGAGTTATGTCTTAAACTTGTTTTAATGCCCAGTAAAAATATGTCATGTGCGAATTCAAACACCCTTTAGACCATGTGCGTAGCAGCCATCTTAGAGGGCATATTTTGGTATTTCAATCCAGTAACACTGAATGCACAAAAGGGTCCACTCATGTATATGTAGCCTGGCTGGCGAGTCAAAAAATGAATGGGCTGCGGTAAAGAAGAATGGACAGGGAGAAATAAATCTTTGAATTCAGAAAAGCAAACCTGTATCTATTTGTGTCAGTGTATTAAAAAACACTGACAAGATTGCCTCAGGATACACGTTTTTACATGTATGCACATTGTTGTTTATGAGAAAAGAAAACATGCGGGATATAGTGAATATGCCCACAGGCTACAGTTAAGAGTCGGTTTCAGTAGCGCGGATGGCTAGTAGAACAAAGTAACGTATAAGGTCTATACTGACCATATAAGGTCTTTACTGACCTGCCGTTCGACATTATTTTACAAAACACTTTTTTGGGTAAGGAATAAAATATGCACCAAAAAAGGTGAGTGAAAATATTGATTGAAAGGAAACGTCTTGTGCAGAAAGCATAATACTGGTTTTATCAGTATAGCCGGAGCATTTTCAATCAAAAAGAACAATGATATCCAATCCTGTAGTTGATTTCGAGAGTGCAAGATAATGAAATTAAGACAGTTGGACAAGCTAAACCCGAGGTTTTCATGGTCATAAAAATGGTGCACAGCACCTACCAAACAACAAAGTCAACCTGAAATACCTTTTGGTATGAACACATATTAAAAACATTCAGATTAAAAAACAAAAACGAAAACAAAAATATTTTTAAATCACGAAGGATTTCATCATACCCGACTTCAATTCCATGACAAAAATTACACCTATACACGATAATAGGTATGCCTATAATTTTAGGAGAAAAACATTCTTCTAAAAAGAAGCACTTTTAGCGAAAACTGAATATTTTAATTTAAATCTGAAAAAACCCAAATTTTTGTCCAAATCTGCTGGTCTATTTTGATTTTTTGACAAAAAAAATCAGTTCGACCGAATGTGGCCTTTATGAAACAAACAAATACTATGTAAAAACAAATGAGCTAATACTAGAAGAGATAACAAAATAGTTCTGTTTTAATTATCAGGACACAAGAGACAATTTTGGAAAAAGAACTTTGCAATGCGAAAACATAAAGGCATTGAAACAAAATAGTTATAAATTGGACAACCGCAAATGAACTCCCTGATAACTTGACGCGCGCCCTCTACATTGATTACTCTGCTGCCCTCTATCTCACGTTTCCTCGCTGCCAGTCTCAGTTCACTTCTACTTGGAGACCTGGGTGTCGAACTGTCCCATGACGTTGCCAGGGGGACTGTAGAAAGCCACCACGATGACCTTTCCCTCCTTGGTGATCGCTTTGCCTATGCCGAACTCCTTGGTGTCTTTCCAGACCAACTGGGTGAAGTGACCTGAAGAAACCAATAATTTTCCAACAAAAAATAGGAGTCCTACTGAGCCTTTTGAGCTATGATGGAGTTAGGCAAATTCGGTTTGGGTAATCGTTTTTCTGTTAATTTACCCAACCTCGTTCCCATGGTATCGAGCAGTATACCTCCCACTACCTGCTCTCTCCACCTGGGGCCAATTTCACGGCGCTGCTAAGCACAAACATTTGCTTAATACAAAAAAGTTTGGCTTATAAAAGCAGGTTACAGCTGTTGTTTGTTATAGCATGAAAATCACATGGAGTTTTGGCTGGTAAACTGCTTTAAGCCAGACTTTTTGTGCTAAGCAAATGTTTTTGCTTAGCATGCAGCGCCATGAAATGGCCCCTAGTAATGAATCATTTCTGCACGTTTAAAAGTCTCGCTCACGTATGCAACTTAATTAAGAACAGTCTGGTGCATAGTTGTGCTTTATATATCTGCGTTTGTTTGTGTATGCGGTGTCTTGGGTAAAAGAAGAATTGATTCGTCGCGGTGGAAGATCCGAAAACACGAATTTGGTTTTTTTTCAAATTTAGTAACTATGTTATCCAGCCAATATGCAGTATCACATTACATATTTGTTATTCTAATAAGCAAAATGGAAAAGGGGCGATTGTTTATGAGTTGAAGTGGACGTAATATTTCACAGCGAGCGTTAATATTAGTTGCTATAATATGCAGCCGTATCGAATCAGGATACCGGAAAAAAACTTTCCCACCCAGGGATTACTACTGGAAACGCGGTTGCAAATAAAGGAACCCCTGAAGAAGAGGTTGACATTTGCCTCATGTTACCCAATCTAAAGTAGTGCCCTCCTATTTTGTCCGTCGCCTATCTCAGACAGGCTAATTATCTCGGCCTAAATGTTGGACAGTGTTCTGCAATCATATCACACTTGCATGACATAAGCTGTGTTATATCACATGAAGGGCCATGGAAATTAAAGAAGTCCAACATTCGATAAGACATTTTCTAAATTAAAATATTGGTCTGAGAACATAAACATGAGAGACTGCATATACAAAATGAGTGAGGCCCTAGGTGCTCATGACAACATTGTTCTTATTTGTGAATGGAAGGATTTCCTGACCTGCACCCGACGTGAAACGGGTTTCTTGAAGTTGTACTTGTCGATCTGGCGGTAAAACATGTCAGTGGCTTCATTCCCTGAAATAGAAAACAACTATAAACATTAATCCCGCACTATGTTAACATAGTTATTCACATTTTGCTGTTTTAAAAATGGTTGATTTGTTGCGTAATGCGCACTAATAACAAACTGGTCAAGAACAGCTTTTTAAAATTAAATTCGATTGGAAGTGAAAGTTTGGTAGTGATATTATGTGGTTCCCGGGGATTTTTGATGTCGAACTAGAAAAAGGCGAATTTCAGCTCAGCCATCTTGAAAACAGTGCGAACGCTTCAGGAATTGGAAGACCGTTCGCCTTCGTTGCTGACATTCACCAACGTTGTAGCCTTTCACCAAGGCCATCGTGGCTTAACATAATTGCCGGCATTAGACAAAGCGGCATTAGACATCCGCGTTGTGATTGGTTAACCTTTCAGCACTCTTCTTATTTGCATAAAAACTAGGAATAATTCAACAAAATCATGTTGGAAAAGGCCTCGTGGCTTCGCCACTCGTGCGTGCTGACTTAATCTTTGCTCCACTCTAAGCCACGATGGCCTTGGCGAAAGGCTACCAACGTTGTGGCAAACAGTCGGTCCCACTTGCGCAAACGTGACCAAAGTGGCCAACGTTGGTAAACATTAGCGTTGTCCGCGTATAAGCGCAACGCACCTAGCCATGTATTGAGCATTCTCAGAGTGAATAACGTTTTGGTCATCGTCTCCATTGTTTAAGTACTTGGTCTTCCAACCTTCATTCACTTTAGAGAAAGTCTTGGATTTGACACCAATAGGAATAATTTGAACCGGTTTTTAATTACAGTCTAATTTCTAAATTTACCATAAATTCACTCGTTTGACACCTACCAGAAAACGCAGTGCTGGCACTGGAGTAATGCATCACGATGTTTTCTCCCACATCGGTGTTGCCACTGTTCTTGAACTCGTCTTTCTTGGCGAGGTGAGCGGCCCAGTCCTGGGCTCGCTTGTTCAGATCTTCCGACCGTCTCAGGCTGCGTGCGCCGTGGCGGGCCCGGTACTTGTTGTGGGCTTCCAGGCAGTCGCGCTGGAAAGTCCGAAGGTCCGAGGGAGACAAGTCCGCATCCTTGAGTTTGACACCACCGACCTGGGTATATAAACGATTTTGAAAGTCAACTCAAAACTAGACAAAATGTTCATAACAAAGCTAATTTAAAACACAACAAAAGTAAACGCTCTATTATTAAACTTCGTATAGGTTCAAATTTCGCATCTCACACTCTTTCGAAATTGTGGGTTGACGAAAAGGTTCCTGTGTTTGTTTGTTTTTTCGCTAAAAAATTAACTGCGACTCATCAACATTGGTGAAATCAACAGAGATGCAAACAAAGTAACACAGACGAAATCATACGACTCAAATATTACTTACAAAACTATAGTAAAGTATACTGCGAATTGGACAACAAAGCAACAATAAAGGCCTCTTTTTGGAGGGGGGGGGGGGCTCCTGTCTCATACCTGTCTGGTAACATACTCCACAGTTTTCGGTGGTTCCTCGGTGACGTACTGCGTATTACGGACAACTCGAGTGACCTTTCAATTTAAAACCAATTAAGCATTTTTAAAATTAAATTTGACATCAGATTAAAGTATTGGGGTTCAAGGAAAAAGTCAGTCTGTGTCTATAAAGCTAGCACAAAAACATTAGCATTGGTGTCATTCCAAATTATGACGTTATTTTAACTGTTCAACCCCATACAGCTAAACGTGTTTAATTTTTACTAAATGTATCTTTGTATTCTTTCTTTAACGCAAATTTCGTTTTGTTGGAAAACACATCTTTATAGAAAAGAAGTGTTTGGAAACCACTTTATTTTCCATCTTCAGTGAAAAAAAACAACAAAGCGAAACAGCGTTCCATAAGCAAACAAAACGCATATTTGTGAACTCTCTGTAGATGTATGGTTTTGCTATAGGAGGCTTCCCATTCGTCAAAAATACATAAAACCGTGTGCAAATTTCATATTGGGTTTTGCCCTTCACAGACGTATACTTTTATGAACGCTGTATACTCAGTGTTTTCCTAGGACTTGCGAGAAGCTTCAATACTCTGGTGGGACTCGAACCCACGATCAGGAGGTCGTGGGTTCGTGGGTCGAGTGGTTAGACGTTTACTAGTGCAGACGTCTAACCACTCGACTACCGAGCTTGCTGGGGTCGGCTGGCTGGTTCGTATCTGATGTAACTGCGAGTACCGCATGTATACATGACTTTTTGTATACGATGGACTTTGCGTCGGGGAGAAAGTCAACGTGCACATTCTTCGTACTTACTTTCAAGGGACACTAAGCCCCACATAAACGATATAATAGCGGCTGGGATACCCAGTCCTCAATCCTGTAAACTCCTCCCACATTATTGGATTTTGAAAGGTTTGTTTAGGAGATGACGAAATGCCTTACCTTAGAGGTTTGTACGGCGGTAGGCGGCGGTATGTAGCCATCCGGCCGGGGGAACACGTTCTCCTCGTACCGTCCGACCACGTTGCCTGGCGGTCGGTACTGGCCAACGATCAGCACCTTACCGTCCTTCGTGATCGCCCTCCCAATGCCAAACTCTCTAGATCCTTTCCAAACCATCTGCGTGAAGTGTCATGTGGATTGTTTTGCCATTGAATGTCAATAATATATACAGGGAAACAACAGAATGAGACTGTATAGGGTGGGGGGTACGGGCATTGCTGCAACCTCCCCCCCCCCCCTGTTCAGCTGACTATAGTGTTATGATAAGCCTACTAGTAAAATGGGGCCAAAAATAATAAATGGAATGATAAAGTTCCTGTATTCATTCTCATGGTAGATTTCAAAATTTTCGGGGGGGGGGGGGAACGCTTAGCGCCCTCAATTGACGGCCGTGGTCGTGACAGTGATACTAGCATTTTATGTGGGTGGCCGGAGGGTAGCCGGGTATGGGTACGAGCGAAACATAATAATAATCTTTTGGAAAGCAGTTACTGGTTTTTTTTTACTGAAATGAACTATACTCTCGGTAAAGATTACAATAAGACAAATATAAAAATAAAGAAATAAAATTGCTTAAAGTTCAAAATCTGCGGTATTTTCTCTTTCGCAATGAATTAGGCTAAGCCATTTTTTTCTACTACAGATTATAATGATGTTATATTTTAATGCGATACAAGTTTCTTGTATATTATTGTTTATTGTAGGCCTAGTTTGATTATTAGTCATGTGGCTTAATATGATCCAATTTTAGACAAGATCGCACCGACTGGTCCAAAGCACCAAACTTGGCAAATAGATTGTTCAGCCTTAAAGAAGATTTTTTAGAAGGAGTGACACCTGGAATTCTTTTGGGAGGGATTCATTTTTTGCATCAATCGTAAAAGCTGACGTGTAATATAATTATTCAAATATTTTGGTATTTGTTTTATTTATTTTTTCGAAAAATGTATTTCGGGGGATTCCTACTAACACGCATCCTTACTTAAATACCATGTTATGAAGCATGAATGACTGAGTAACTTATGATGCCATAATGAAAGACCCAAATGGCCGACATATACCAGGGGCAGGCGGAACCGGGAAGGGAAGGGGGGGGGGCACTTTCCACTCCCCCCCCCCCCCAGATTTTCCCAGGCCAACAAAATTGCCCCCTTCGCGGTTAATATGCCCCCTCGACATGAAAACAAAACTGCCCTGCATCAAACGCACACGATATGAAAGCATATGATCGCGCAGATAAACTTGTCCTTGTAATGCAAAACTGCCCCTCAAAACACAATATACCCCTCTTGCATTAACAAGATTGTGCTCCTTCTCGAGATAGAAAAACTATACCGGTACCCCTCGAAAGCACAAATACCCCTCTCGCAATAATAAAACTGTGCCCCGCCTCTCGAGATGGGAAATTGGCCATCAAAAACAATAGTGCTCTACTTGCGATAACCTCTCGAGATGGAAAACTGCCCCTCGATAGCACAATTAGTGCCCCGCTCGCAACATTAAAATTGTGCCCCCTCTCAACATTGCACGCACAAAGCAACGCACAAAGCAACAGTGCCCCTCTCTCGATAACAAAAAAAATGACCTCTCCACATAATTTGGTAAAAGAAGCACAAAGAGCAAGATGGACAACGTATTCATAATTTGTTCCACGTCATATAGGTTTATAGTGAAATGAACGGGACCATATTCTTTTCCTCCACTTTCACACCGACGGAAGGTGCCCCTTTTTCTGAGCAAGTGCCCCTTTTTGGTGTTGCCCCCCCCCCCCCAGTTTGAAAAGCGTTCCGCCGCCCATGCCATATACCCTTTTTTAAGTTGCACGCATTGATCGTTTCCACATAATCATCAGGTCTCATCTTGCATGCAAAAACCTCAGTATTGATGATCTTTAAATTAAGTTGTTAGAATCCCAAACATACATACACTTTTCGATTTTTTTTTTAATATAATAAAATATGGGAATAAATATATCCCGACTTCTGCAAATTAGGCACTGTTCTCCAAAGAATTTCCGGTGTCAAATATCTTCTTTGAGGCTATAAGAATCCAAGTCAAAATTTAGTGCGTTGGAACGGACCAGTCGGTCACAATTCCGACTATATTACCATCGTATACCATTCCCTAGACTTGGCGTAATTACAAGAAAAGATGAATTTTCCAAGCGAAGGGAGTTGAATTAAAATTAAAAAAAAAATGCTTCGTTAAGGGCAAAAAAAAAAAAAATATTCGGTCTCTGGTCAGACCAAAGTTCCGGAATTGACGCGGCCACGCGGCTTTTTTTTTTTTTTCCTGTTTTTTTTTCCTTCAGCTTGGATTGTACAGACAAGGTGGGTACTATTTTGCTTTTTGGTGTCCTCATGTACATTGGTGGCCTCCATAATTTGCCTTGGTGCTTTCGATCATTTGCCTTGGTGCAATTTCCCATTCCTTGGTGCTCTTTGGTAAAAAAAATTGAGGAGATGCGGAAATAGAGGGCGCTGTTGGAGCTACCGCGGAACATTTTGGAAAAAAAAAATCGACGCGCATGCTTAAAATCGACGCGCGCGCTGACCAGAGACCGACTAATTTTTTTTTTTGGCCTAATATTATGTAAACCGGTCAGTATAGCTCACTGTTTATAATTATGAAGAAGGGGATTATTATGAACTTCCCAAATTTCACTCCCTGCAGAAGGAATATCAGCGCGATGCCGGACGAGGGCAGAATGGGGCAAGCCTGCAAGGTTAATTGCTCGTACGGACGAGAGCGACTCTGAATAGTCAAGTGCTTTTATACGAATGAATGTATAGAAAAGAGTTACGTAACACTGAGCATTCATGTGAACAGCCTGGCGTGCTGCAGTTTCGCGCAGCTGGCTTTGAAAAACAAAGTGACGAGTCCACTGCGGAAATCAAAGCCCGATCTTATCGCCACAGAATACAATTCATTATGTTTTAAAACGCGGGAGATAGAAAGGCGCCTAAATAGCCTAGTGGTTATGCTGTCAGACAGCGGACCCAAGGTTTGGGGTTCGAATCCCCATGGTGCCATATTTTGTTTTCCACGCACGCGGTCGTGTCATTTAAGTTAAGAGTATTAATTTCCGTCGTCATTTACCAACAGCAGTTAGCTCGGTCGGTCGGTAAGCTGACTCACAAGTTGGGACTGTCTGCGAAGTCCAGGTTGGCGTCTGCGTATAGGTACGGGGTTCTTTTGCTGACTCGGCAGCAAGGCTTAGGGTGCCACCTCGTTTCCTCCCTTTATGGTGCCTGACTTTCGAGTTACATGGATGGACAGGGAAGGAGGTGTGGTGGGCCGGGTACCGAGTCCCAGAAGAGTTCTATATGGAAGTCGGTAAGGGGCTCATTAAGTTAGGGTCATAAGTCCGACTCCTGAAGACTTGGCCATCGCCACATAACTTTTTTTTTTTTTTTAATTTTATATCCGAGGGCAATTGCAAGAATGATTAATTTGTTATATCGAGGGCTTGTATACTGTAATCATTCTAAAATAATTTGTTTAATTGCTCGAGAATACAAAAATAACGTTTATAACAAAAACAAAATAATAATCAAATCAGCTAAAATGAACGAAAGAAAATATGCAGCCTGCTTAATCCAATCAATGCATATAAATAAAAAGTTGTCCCCGACGACATCAAATGCCTAAAAAAGTGTTAAATTAATTCCCCAGCAGGTTCCGTATATTTCCACCACGAAAACAAATAATCACATTCAGAATATCGATACAGCGCTGGAGACGGTGGCGGAAGGCGTGTGCTACGGCCGAAAGCTGATGAAGGAATTCAGGATCACCCCTGATGTCATTGCACACCTCCGCGATCGTGTGTCGCGCCAAACAATATATGGAGGTGTGCAATGACATCAGGGGTGATCCTGCATCCCTTCAGAAGCTTTCGGCTGCAGTACGTGCCTTCCGCCACCGTCTCCAGCGCTGTATCGACATTGGAGGACATGAGTTGAAAGCGGCAGATTCTGTAATGAGTGAGCATTTTTTATGGCGTTTAAATCTCACCCGCTTGAACAAAACTGATAAAACTCGCTCCATACATGTTGTTATGCCGTGTTTACATGATCTGATATTTTGGTTTATTTCCATTTGTAAACAACAAAGTTATTAAGGATGAAAAGCAGGAACAGCGGCATGCGCTGCAACTCTGATGTAATGCGGGTAGCCGTTTTGTCGAAGTGTAACACGAAGATCCAGATACAGAACCAGGGAATTGAATAATTAAAAAAAAATATTATAATTACAGTAGACACTTTTAATAATTCAATACTGGAACTCGCGGATATAGTGCTTTCAAAACGGTGAGAATTTTTATTCTATGCATATTTCTTTATTGTTTCTTAAGAAGGTAATGAACAAAAAGAAAGCAAAATATATAGGCCCTACCTAATTACTACAAGTGCAGCACTGTCTGTAAAAAAAAAATAATTTCAACATATTCTGTTAAGGAGAATACACGAGAAAGTGTGGATTCGTAATTGAAGAATTCACGAGGCGCGAAGCGCCTCGTGAATTCGTAATTTAAGAATCCACACTTGCGAGTGTATTCTTCAACTTAAACCATTGCGTCAACAGAAATATTGGAAAGAATGTTGCAACCTGACGCCACTTTTTTCTTCATATATCATCTCAATGAAGGTAGTTTGTTGCAAAAATGACGATAAGACATGAATCTGGGACTGAAAAATGTTTCCAATTGTGTTGGGAAATACTTGAAATGACTCTCCATAGACTTTGTACACAAGTGCGGAAGTGGCGGCAGGTTGCAACATTGTTTCCTGGCGTGTTTAGCATGTGTATCGACACACCCGTACAACCAATTAAGTCATTTTGTTTCTATAGGCTCCTTACGTCAAACTGGATAGTTCAGACGACGATTTCTTTCTGACTAAAAGTAGATTTTGCAGTGACGGCGGAGAATCTGACAGTGTGTGAAGATGCAATGGTAATTTTCGGAAAGCAAATTTTCACACAGACGGTCCTATTCATGATCATTATGGAGAACAATTGTCCGACGTGTTCAAAGTGTGGATTCGTAATTCCGAATCCACACTTTACTCAAGATTCGTCGTTCCGAATCCACACTTTGTGACCAGTGTAAGCGATTCGTAGATCCGAATCCACACTTTTAACAATAGTGTGACGTCATAGCAATGGTTTAATGAATTAAAAGCCATGACTTTTTCTTAACTCATGCTAAGTCACATAAACTTTCAAAAATTTGACAGAGTTATGTCTTAAACTTGTTTTAATGCCCATTAAAATAATTATGTCGTGTGCGAATTCAAACACCCTTTAGACCATGTGCGTAGCAGCCATCTTAGAGGGCATATTTTGGTATTTCAATCCAGTAACACTGAATGCACAAAAGGGTTCACTCATGCTTATGTAGCCTGGCTGGCGAGTCAAAAAAGAATGGGCTGCAGCAAAGATGAATGATGCGGGACAGGGAGAAATAAATCTTTGAATTCAGAAAAGCAAACCTGTCATGTATTTGTGTCAGTGTATTAAAAACACTGACAAGATTGCCTCAGGATACACGTTTTTACATGTATGCACATTGTTGTTTATGAGAAAAGAAAACATGCGGGATTTAGTGAATATGCCCGCGCATATAAGAGTCGGTTTCAGTAGCGCGGCTGGCTAGTAGAACAAAGTAACGTATGAGGTCTATACTGACCGTATAAGGTCTATACTGACCTGCCGTTCAACATTATTTTACAAAACACTTTTTTGGGGAAGGGAATAAAATATGCACCAAAAAAGGTGACTGAAATATTGATTAAAAGGAAACGTCTTGTGCAGAAAGCATAATACTGGTTTTATCAGTAGGCCAATAGCCTGAGCATTTTCAATAAAAATGTACAATGATATCCAATCCTGTAGTTGATTTCGAGACTGCCAGATAATGACATTAAGACAGTTGGACATGCTAAACCCGAGGCTTTCATGGTCATAAAAATGATGACACCTAAAATACATTTTAGTATGAACATATATTAAAAACTTTGAGATTAAAAAAAAATCACGACGGATTTGATCATACCCGACTTCAATTCGATAACATAACAAATTACACCTTTACGCGATAAAATGTATGCCTATAATTTTTGTTATATAATAATAGCTATATTTTAATGCTTCTAAAAAGAAGCAGTATTTCAATTTGAAAAAAAAACCACATTATTGTCCAAATCTGCTGGTCTATTTTTGATTTTTGACCACACAAAATCTGTTCGACTGAATGTGGCTATGAAACAACAGATACTATGTAAACACAAATGAGCTAATACTAAAAGAAATAAAAAATAGTTATATTAAATTATCAGGACACAAGAGACAATTTTGGAAAAAGAACTTTGCAATGCGAAAACATAAAGGCATTGAAACAAAATAGTTATAAATTGGACAACCGCAAATGAACTCCCTGATAACTTGACGGGCGCCCTCTACATTGATTACTCTGCTGCCCTCTATCTCACGTTTCCTCGCTGCCAGTCTCATCAGTTCACTTCTACTTGGAGACCTGGGTGTCGAACTGTCCCATGACGTTGCCAGGGGGACCGTAGAAAGCCACCACGATGACCTTTCCCTCCTTGGTGATAGCTTTGCCTATGCCAAACTCCTACGTGTCTTTCCAGACCAACTGGGTGAAGTGACCTGAAAAATTGTCCAACGAAACAAAAATGTAGTCCTATCATTAGCCTTTTCGAGCTATGATAGAGTTGGACACATTTGGTTTTGGTAACCGTTTTTTTTTATTTACCCAACCTCGTTCCAATTGTGTCGCTACCTGTTCTCTCCACTGGTAGGTCTGCATGTTCACAAATCTCGCACACGTAGACTATGCAAGTTAGGAATAGTCTGGTGCATACTTGTGCTTTATATATCAGCGTTTGTTTGCGTATGCGGTGTCTTGGGTTAAAGAAGAATCGATTCGTCGCGGTGGGAGATCCGAAAACACGAATTTGCTTTTTAAATGTAATAATTAGGTTACAATGTTATCCAGCCAATATGCAGTCATTACATATTTGTTATTCTAATAAGCAAAATGGAAAAGGGGCGATTGTTTATGAGTTGAAGTGGACGTAATAATTCACAGCGAGCGTTAAAATTAGTTGCTGTATATGCGGCCATATCGAATCAGGATACCGGAAGAAACTTTCCCACCCAGGGACTACTACTGGAAACGCGGTTGCAAATAAAGGAACCCCTGAAGAAGAGGTTGACAGTTGCCTCATGTAACCCAATCTAAAGTAGTGCCCTCCTATTTTGTCCGTCGCCTATCTCAGACAGGCTAATTATCTCGGCCTAAATGTTGGACAGTGTTCTGCAATCATATCACACTTGCATGACATAAGCTGTGTTATATCACATGAAGTGCCATGGAAATTAAAGAAGTCCAACATTCGATAAGACATTTTCTAAATTAAAATATTGGTCTGAGAACATAAACATGAGAGACTGCATATACAAAATGAGTGAGGCCCTAGGTGCTCATAACGACATTGTTCTTATTTGTGAATGGAAGGATTTTCTGACCTGCACCCGACGTGAAACCGGGTTTCTTGAAGTTGTACTTGTCGATCTGGCGGTAAAACATGTCAGTGGCTTCATTCCCTGAAATAGAAAAACAACTATAAACATTAATCCCGCACTATGTTAACATAGTTATTCACATTTTGCTGTTTTAATAATGGTTGATTTGTTGCGTAATGCGCACTAATAGCAAACTGGTCAAGAACAGCTTTTTAAAATTAAATTCGATTGGAAGTGAAATTTGGTAGTGATATTACGTGGTTCCCATGATTTTTTTATGTAGAACTAGAAAAAGGCGAATTTCAGCTCGGCCATCTTGAAAACAGAGCGAACGCTTCGGAATTGGAAGACCGTTCGCCTTCGTTGCTGACATTCACCAACGTTGTAGCCTTTCACCAAGGCCATCGTGGCTTAAGTTGCCGGCATTAGACAAAGTCTTTGAGAAAGTCTTGGATTTGACACTAATAGCAAGAATTTGAACCGGTTTTTAATTACAGTCTAATTTATGAACCATAAATTCACTCGTTTGACACCTACCAGAAAACGCAGTGCTGGCGCTTGAGTAATGCATCACGATGTTTTCTCCCACATCGGTGTTGCCACTGTTCTTGAACTCGTCTTTCTTGGCGAGGTGAGCGGCCCAGTCCTGGGCTCGCTTGTTCAGATCTTCCGACCGTCTCAGGCTGCGTGCGCCGTGGCGGGCCCGGTACTTGTTGTGGGCTTCCAGGCAGTCCCGCTGGAAAGTCCGAAGGTCCGAGGGAGACAAGTCGGCATCCTTGAGTTTGACACCACCGACCTGGGTATATAAACGATTTTGAAAGTCAACTCAAAACTAGACAAAATGTTCATAATAAAGCTAATTTAAAACACAACAAAAGTAAACGCTCTATTATTAAACTTCGTATAGGTTCAAATTTCGCATCTCACACTCTTTCGAAATTGTGGGTTGACGAAAAGGTTCCTGTGTTTGTTTGTTTTTTCGCTCAAAAAGTAACTGCGACTCATCAACATTGGTGAAATCAACAGAGATGCAAACAAAGTAACACAGACGAAATCACACTACTAACTATTACTTACAAACTATACGTAAAGTATACTGCCAATTGGACAACAAAGCAACAATAAAGGCCTCTTTTTGGAGGGGGCTCCTGTCACATACCTGTCGGGTAACATACTCCACAGTTTTCGGTGGTTCCTCGGCGACGTACTGCGTATTACGGACAACTCGAGTGACCTTTCAAATTAAAATCAATTAAGCATTTTTTAAAATTAAATTTGACATCAGATTAAAGTATTGGGGTTCAAAGAAAAAGTCAGTCTGTGTCCTATAAAGCTAGCACAAAAACATTAGCATTGGTGTCATTCCAAATTATGACGTTATTTTAACTTTTCAACCCCATACAGCTAAACGTGTTTAAATTTTACTATATGTATCTTTGTATTCTTTCTTTAACGCAAATTTCGTTTTGTTGGAAAACAAATCTTCATAGAAAAGAAGTGTTTGGAAACCACTTTATTTTCCATCTTCAGTGAAAAAAACAAAACAAAGCGAAACAGCGTTTCATAAGCAAACAAAACGCATATTTGTGAACTCTCTGTAGATGTATGGTTTTGCTATAGGAGGCTTCCCATTCGTCAAAAATACATAAAACCGTGTGCAAATTTTATATTGGGTTTTGCCCTTCACAGACGTATTCTTTTATGAACGCTGTATACTCAGTGTTTTCCTAGGACTTGCGAGAAGCTTCAATACTCTGGTGGGACTCGAACCCACGACCAGGAGGTCGTGGGTTCGTGGGTCGAGTGGTTTGTGGGTCGAGTGGTTAGACGTTTACTAGTGCAGACGTCTAACCACTCGACTACCGAGCTTGCTGGGGTCGGCTGGCTGGTTTCGTATCTGATTTAACTGCGAGTACCGTATAACTACATGACTTTTTGTATACGATGGACTTTGCGTCGGGGAGAAAGTCAACGTGCACATTCTTCGTACTTACTTTCAATGGACACTAAGCCCCACATAAACTATATAATAGCGGCTGGGATACCCAGTCCTCAATCCTGTAAACTCCTCCCACATTATTGGATTTTTAAAGGTTTGTTTAGGAGATGACGAAATGCCTCACCTTAGAGGTTTGTGCGGCGGTAGGCGGCGGTATGTAGCCATCCGGCCCGGGGAAACACGTTCTCCTCGTACCGTCCGACCACGTTGCCTGGCGGTCGGTACTGGCCAACGATCAGCACCTTACCGTCCTTCGTGATCGCCCTCCCGATGCCAAACTCTCTCGATCCTTTCCAAACCATCTGCGTGAAGTGTCCTGTGGATTGTTTTGCCATTGAATGTCAATAATATATACAGGGAAACAACAGAATGAGACTGTATAGGGGGGGGGGGGGGGTACGGGCATTGCTGCAACCTCCTCCCCCCCCCCCTCCCCCCTGTTCAGCTGAGTGTTATGATAAGCCTACTAGTAAAATGGGGCCAAAAATAATAAATGGAATGATAAAGTTCCTTTATTCATTCTCATGGTAGATTTCAAAATTTCTGGGGGGGGGGGGAAACGCTTAGCGCCCTCAATTGACGGCCGTGGTCGTGACAGTGACACTAGCATTTTATGTGGGTGGCCGGGGGGTACCAGGGTATGGGTACGAGCGAAACATAATAATAATCTTTTGGAAAGCAGTTACTGTTTTTTTTTTACTGAAATGGACTATACTCTCGGTAAAGATTACAATAAGACAAATATAAAAATAAAAAAATGAAATTGCTTAAAGTTCAAAATCTGCGGTATTTTCTCTTTCGCAATGAATTAGGCTAAGCCATTTTTTTCTACTACAGATTATAATGATGTTATATTTTAATGCGATACAAGTTTCTTGTATATTATTGTTTATTGTAGGCCTAGTTTGATTATTAGTCATGTGGCTTAATATGATCCAATTTTAGACAAGATCGCACCGACTGGTCCAAAGCACCAAACTTGGCAAATAGATTGTTAAGCCTTAAAGAAGATTTTTTAGAAGGAGTGACACCTGGAATTCTTTTGGGAGGGATTCCTTATTTGCATGAATCGTAAAAGCTGACGTGTAATATGTTTATTCAAATATTTTGGTATTTGTTTTATTTATTTTTTTGAAAAATGTATTTCGGGGGATTCTACTTACACGCATCCTTACTTAAATACCATTTTATGAAGCATGAGTGACTGAGTAACTGAGAACATAATGAAAGATCCAAATGGCCGACATATACCAGGGGCAGCGGAACCGGGAAGGGGGGGGGGGGGGGGGGGGGGGGCACTTTCCTCTACCCCCCCCCCCAGATTTCCCCAGGCCAACAAAAGTGCCCCCTTCGCGGTAAATTAATATACCCCCTCGAGATGAAAACAAAACTGCCCTGCATCAAACGCACACGATATGAAAGCATATGATCGCGCAGATAAACTTGTCCTTGTAATGCAAAACTGCCTCTCAAAACACATTATACCCCTCTTGCATTAACAAGATTGTGCTCCTTCTCGAGATAGAAAACTACCGGTAGCCCTCGAAAGCACAAATACCCCTCTCGCAATAATAAAACTGTGCCCCGCCTCTCGAGATGGGAAATTGGCCATCAAAAACAATAGTGCTCTACTTGCGATAACCTCTCGAGATGGAAAACTGCCCCTCGATAGCACAATTAGTGCCCCGCTCGCAACATTAAACTTGTGCCCCCTCTCAAGATGGAAAACTAGCCCTAAAAATAACAGTGCTCTTCACGCGAATAAAATGGTCACTGAACTGTCCATCAAAAGCAACAGTGTCACTCTCGCGATAACACAAAATGGCCTCTCTACATAATTTGGTAAAAGAAGCACAAAGAGCAAAGATGGACAACGTATTCATAATTTGTTCCACGTCATATAGGTTTATAGCGAAATGAACGGGACCATATTCTTTTCCTCCACTTTCACACCGAATGAAGGTGCCCCCTTTTTCTGAGCAAGTGCCCCTTTTTGGTGTTGCCCCCCCCCCCACCCCAGTTTGAAAAGCGGTCCGCCGCCCATGCCATATACCTTTTTTTAAGTTGCACGCATTGATCGTTTCCCCATAATCATCAGGTCTCATCTTGCATGCCAAACCTCAGTATGATGATCTTTAAATTCCCAAAGTTGTTAGAATCCCCAACATACATACACTTTTCAAAAAAATTTTTTTTTTTAAATATAATAAAATATGGGAATAAATATATCCCGACTTCTGCAAATTAGGCACTGTTCTCCAAAGAATTTCTGGTGTCAAATATCTTCTTTGAGGCTATAAGAATCCAAGTCAAAATTTAGTGCGTTGGAACGGACCAGTCGGTCACAATTCCGACTATATTACCACCGTAAACCATTCCCTAGACTTGGCGTAATTACAAGAAAAGATGAATTTTCCAAGTGAAGGGAGTTGAATTAAAATTTAAAAAAAAATGCTTCGTTAATATTATGTAAACCGGTCAGTATAGCTCACTGTTTATAATTATGAAGAAGGGGATTATTATGAACTTCCTAAATTTCACTCCCTGCAGAAGGAATATCAGCGCGATGCCGGACGAGGGCAGAACGGGGCAAGCCTGCAAGGTTAATTGCTCGTACGGACGAGAGTGACTCTGAATAGTCAAGTGCTTTTATACGAATTAATGTATAGAAAAGAGTGACGTAAACACTGAGCATTCATGTGAACAGCCTGGCGTGCTGCAGTTTCGCGCAGCTAGCTTTGAAAAACAAAGTGACGAGTCCATTGCGGAAATCAAAGCCCAATTATCGCCACAGAATACAATTCATTATGTTTTAAAACGCGGGAGATAGAAAGGCGCCTAAATAGCCTAGTGGTTATGCTGTCAGACGCGGACCCAAGGTTAGGGGTTCGAATGCCCATGGTGCCATATTTTGTTTTCCACTCACGCGGTCGTGTCATTTAAGTTAAGAGTATTAATTTCCCGTCGTCATTCACCAACAGCAGTTAGCTCGGTCGGTCGGTAAGCTGACTCACAAGTTGGGACTGTCTGCGAAGTCCAGGTTGGCGTCTGCGTATAGGTACGGGGTTCTTTTGCTGACTCGGCAGCAAGGCTTAGGGTGCCACCTCGTTTCCTCCCTTTATGGTGCCTGACTTTCGAGTTACATGGATGGACAGGGAAGGAGGTGTGGTGGGCCGGGTACCGAGTCCCAGAAGAGTTCTATATGGAAGTCGGTAAGGGGCTCATTAAGTTAGGGTCATAAGTCCGACTCCTGAAGACTTGGCCATCGCCACATAACTTTTTGTTTTATTTTTTCTCTATCCGAGGGCAATTGCAAGAATGATGCTTGTATACTGTAATCATTCTAAAATAATTTGTTTAATTGCTCGAGAATACAAAAATAACGTTTATAACAAAAACAAAATAATAATCAAATCAGCTAAAATGAACGAAAAAAAATATGCAGCCTGCTTAATCCAATCAATGCATATAAATAAAAATTTGTCCCCGACGACATCAAATGCCTAAAAAAGTGTTAAATTAATTCCCCAGCAGGTTCCGTATATTTCCACCACGAAAACAAATAATCACATTCAGAATATCGATACAGCGCTGGAGACGGTGGCGGAAGGCGTGTGCTACGGCCGAAAGCTGATGAAGGAATTCAGGATCACCCCTGATGTCATTGCACACCTCCGCGATCGTGTGTCGCGCCAAACAATATATGGAGGTGTGCAATGACATCAGGGGTGATCCTGCATCCCTTCAGAAGCTTTCGGCTGCAGTACGTGCCTTCCGCCACCGTCTCCAGCGCTGTATCGAAATTGGAGGACATGAGTTGAAAGCGGCAGATTCTGTAATGAGTGAGCATTTTTTATGGCGTTTAAATCTCACCCGCTTGAACAAAACTGATAAAACTCGCTCCATACATGTTGTTATGCCGTGTTTACATGATCTGATATTTTGGTTTATTTCCATTTGTAAACAACAAAGTTATTTAGGATGAAAAGCAGGAACAACGGCATGCGCTGCAACTTTGATGTAATGCGGGTAGCCGTTTTGTCGAAGTGTAACACGAAGATCCAGATACAGAACCAGGGAATTGAATAATTAAAAAAAAATATTATAATTACAGTAGACACTTTTAATAATTCAATACTGGAACTCGCGGATATAGTGCTTTCAAAACGGTGAGAATTTTATTCTATGCATATTTCTTTATTGCTTCTTAAGAAGGTAATGAACAAAAAGAAAGCAAAATATATAGGCCCTACCTAATTACTACAAGTGCAGCACTGTCTGTAAAAAAAATAATAATTTCAACATATTCAGTTAAGGAGAATACACGAGAAAGTGTGGATTCGTAATTGAAGAATTCACGAGGCGCGACTTAAACCATTGCGTCAACAGAAATATTGGAAAGAATGTTGCAACCTGACGCCACTTTTTTCTTCATAATTATATCATCTCAATGAAGGTAGTTTGTTGCAAAAATGACGATAAGACATGAATCTGGGACTGAGAAATGTTTCCAATTGTGTTGGGAAATACTTGAAATGACTCTCCATAGACTTTGTACAAAAGCGCGGAAGTGGCGGCAGGTTGCAACATTGTTTCCTGGCGTGTTTAGCATGTGTATCGACACACCCGTACAACCAATTAAGTCATTTTGTTTCTATAGGCTCCTTACGTCAAACTGGATAGTTCAGACGACGATTTCTTTCTGACTAAAAGTAGATTTTGCAGTGACGGCGGAGAATCTGACAGTGTGTGAAGATGCAATGGTAATTTTCGGAAAGCAAATTTTCACACAGACGGTCCTATTCATGATCATTATGGAGAACAATTGTCCGATGTGTTTAAAGTGTGGATTCGTAATTCCGAATCCACACTTTTCTAAAGATTCGTCGTTCCGAATCCACACTTTGTGACCAGTGTAAGCGATTCGTAGATCCGAATCCACACTTTTAACAATAGTGTGACGTCATGGCAATGGTTTAATGAATTAAAAGCCATGACTTTTCTTAACCCATGCTAAGTCACATAAACTTTCAAAATTTGACAGAGTTATGTCTTAAACTTGTTTTAATGCCCATTAAAATAATTATGTCGTGTGCGAATTCAAACACCCTTTAGACCATGTGCGTAGCAGCCATCTTAGAGGGCATATTTTTGTATTTCAATCCAGTAACACTGAATGCACCAAAGGGTCCACTCATGCTTATGTAGCCTGGCTGGCGAGTCAAAAAAGAATGGGCTGCAGCAAAGATGAATGATGCGGGACAGGGAGAAATAAATCTTTGAATTCAGAAAAGCAAACCTGTCATCTATTTGTGTCAGTGTATTAAAAACACTGACAAGATTGCCTCAGGATACACGTTTTACATGTATGCACATTGTTGTTTATGAGAAAAGAAAACATGCGGGATATAGTGAATATGCCCACAGGCTACAGTTAAGAGTCGGTTTCAGTAGCGCGGCTGGCTAGTAGAACAAAGTAACGTATAAGGTCTATACTGACCGTATAAGGTCTATACTGACCTGCCGTTCAACATTATTTTACAAAACACTTTTTTGGGAAGGGAATAAAATATGCACCAAAAAAGGTGACTGAAAATATTGATTAAAAGGAAACGTCTTGTGCAGAAAGCATAATACTGGTTTTATCAGTAGGCCTATAGCCTGAGCATTTTCAATAAAAAAGTACAATGATATCCAATCCTGTAGTTGATTTCGAGACTGCCAGATAATGACATTAAGACAGTTGGACATGCTAAACCCGAGGCTTTCATGGTCATAAAAATGATGACACCTAAAATACATTTTAGTATGAACATATATTAAAAACTTTGAGATTAAAAAAAAAAAAAATCACGACGGATTTGATCATACCCGACTTCAATTCCATAACATAACAAATTACACCTTTACACGATAAAATGTGCCTATAATTTTTGTTATATAATAATAGCTATATTTTAATGCTTCTAAAAAGAAGCAGTATTTCAATTTGAAAAAAAAACCACATATTGTCCAAATCTGCTGGTCTATTTTTGATTTTTGACCACACAAAATCTGTTCTACTGAATGTGGCTATGAAACAACATATACTATGTAAACACAAATGAGCTAATACTAAAAGAAATAAAAAATAGTTATATTAAATTATCAGGACACAAGAGACAATTTT